CGTTTTTTTTTTTTGTTTTTTTTTTTCCCTTTTATTTGCGTTTCTTTTTCTTTTTTTTTTTTTTTTTCTTTTTCTTAGCAACTTTTTTCCTTTTTTTGTCTTTTCCTTCTTCCTTTCTTTCATTAATTCATTCCCATATTCTATTTATTCACTTTCATCTTTTATATATTTCTATCCTATCTCATCTAACTATTTATTTTATTTTTACCTTATCTATTTCATCTATAATATATATCTATTTTCTTAAAAAAGATAAACAAGATCCACACTTAATCAACAACATTATGACGTCACAAAAGCCGGAATAAAACCTGCTTTTGTTTTGTCCACAAAATATTCTTTCTTTGTCTTTCACTGTCAAGGTTGGTGGAAGGTGACGGAGAGGGAGGGAGAGAGGGAGAGAGGGAGAGAGGAGAGAGGAGAGAGAGGGAGGGAGAGAGGAGAGAGGGAGGGGAGAGAAGGAAGAGGGGAGAGGGAGAGAGGAGAGAGGGAGAGAGAGGAGAGAGAGGGAGAGAGGGAGAGAGGGAGAGAGGGAGAGAGGGAGGAGAGAGGGAGAGAGGGAGAGAGAAGGGAGATGAGAGGAGGAGAGAGGGAGGGGAGAGGTAGAGGAAGGAGAGGGAGAAGAAGGCAGAAGAAAGAGAGAGAGAGAGAGAGAGAGAGAGAGAGAGAGAGAGAGAGAGAGAGAGAGAGAGAGAGAGAGAGAGAGAGAGAGAGAGAGAGAGAGAGAGAGAGAGAGAGAGAGAGAGACGACGCAGAGAAAGGTAGGGAGAATGAGAAGGAAAGGGATGTATATGTGTATATATATATATATATATATATATATATATATATATATATATATATATATATATTTACAAACATATCTATCTATGCATATCTATCCGTCTATCTATGTATATGTATATATATGCATATAGATGTGTTCATATATATACATATGTGTACACACACACACACACACACACACACACACACACACACACACACACACACACACACACACACACACACACACACACACACATATATATATATATATATATATATATATAATATATATATATATATATATATATATATATATATTACCCCAAACATACACACACACATATATATATTATATATAAAATATGTATATGTATATATATATATATATATATATATATATATATATATATATATATATATATGCACATTCATACGTACATACATACATAAATACATACATATCTATACATGTGTGTGTGTGTGTGAATATATATATATTATATATATATATATATATATATATATATGTATATATATATATATATATTATATATTATATATATATGTACATACATACATACATACATATATATATAATATATATATATATATATATATATATATTATATATATATATATATATATGTACACATGTATATGTATGTATGTACACACACACACAGACACACACACACACACACACATGTACACAAGACCAGTCCATGGCATCACCGTCAGTTAAAGCTTTTCGTAAGTGGAGCAAAATCATCTCTATTCATTATGTTGCTTTGACGTTGCACGCATATTGCAATATACTCGCTGTCATGTGCAAGATACTGAAGGCCTGATATTCAATGTATGAAAGGAATTGTTTATGTCCCTTTCTCTCTCTCTATCTTCTCTATCTATCTCTTTCTCTCTCTCTCTCTCTTCTATCTCTTTTTCTATCTCTCTCTCTCTCTCTCTCTTCTCTCTCTATCTATCTCTATCTCTTTCTATCTTCCTCTCTCCTCTCTCTATCCTTGTTTTTCTATCTCCCTTTCCCTTTCTCTCTCTCTCTATCTATCTATATCTCTCTCTTTTTCTATCTCCCTTCCCCCCCCTCTCTCTCTCTTTCTCTCCCTCTATCTCTCTTCAGCATTATCGTTATCATTCTTGTCATTATCATAGCTCATATGATTATTGTTGTCATCTCTTGTATTGTCATCTTAATTGACAACATTATCTGTTTTATTAAGATTATCATTATTGTTAATATTGGTATAATTGTATAATTACCATTGCGATTATTCTTGCTATCATCCTAATCATTATTATTATTGTTATTATCATTAATATTAGTATCATTATTATTTTTCTTATCATTGTTATTATAATCATTACTTTTGTCAATATTATCATTATCAGTTTTATTACCATCACTAAAATTATTATAATCATCATTGTTACTACCATCATTATCATTATCAATATTGTTATAATCATTATCAATACCATCATCATCATTAATATCATCATTATCAATATGATTAATATCATCATCATTATTATTAATATCATCATTATCAATAATCATTATTATATCATCATTATCAATATATTAATATCATTGTTATAATATCATCATTATCAATCACTATCACCATTAATAGTATCATCATTATCAATCACTATCACACATTCACTATCACCATTAATATTATCTTCATCATCATCATCATCATATCACTATCACAGTCACCATTGCCCACAACTCCCTTATCTCTTATCATTGGACGGTCGCCACAAACCCCCCAAAAGCAACTGGTCATTCTGGTCCGGTTGCGAATTCTTTTATGCAAATCACCCACTCGGTTTTAAGGCCAACTGTGCAACGCGACCAGTGATTGCATCTGTTGACATCTATCGCTGTTGCTTCTCTCGTCATTCGTTATGTTTGGGGGCGATTGGTGGAGGAAGAGGAGGGAGGAAGGGAGGATAGGTTGAGATGGAGGATGAAGGTGGAGAGAGAGGGGGGGGTGATTGGAGGAGGGTTCGTGTGTGTGTTTGTGTTTGTTTGTTTGTTTGTTGTGTGTGTGTGTGTGTGTGTGTTACGTGTGTGTGTGTGTGTGTTTATTTGTTTGTTTGTGTGTGTGTGTGTGCGTGTGTGTGTGTGTGTGTGTGTGTGTGTGTGTGTGTGTGTGTGTGTGTGTGTGTGTGTGTGTGTGTGTGTGTGTGTGTGTGTGTGTGTGTGTGTGTGTGTGCGTGTGTGTGTGTGTGTGTGTGTGTCTGTGTGTGTGTGTGTGTTTGTTCTGTGTGTGTGTGTGTGTGGTGTGTGTGGCGTGTGCGTGTGTGTGTGTGTGTGTGTGTGCGTGTGTGTGTGTGTGTGTGTGTGTGTGTGTGTGTGTGTGTGTGTGTGTGTGTGTGTGTGTGTGTGCGCGTGTGTGTGTCTGTGTGTGTGTGTGTGTTTTGTGCGTCTACGTGTGTGTGTGTGTGTGTGTGGGTGTTTGTGTGCGTGCGCGTGCGTGTGTGCGTGTACGTGTGTGTGTGTGTGTGTGTGTGGTGTGTGTGTGTGTGTGTGTGTGTGTGTGTGTGTGTGTGTGTGTGTGTGTGTGTGTGTGTGTGTGTGTGTGTGTGTGTGTGTGTGTGTGTGTGTGTGTGTGTGTGTGTGTGTGTGTGTGTGTGTGTGTGTGTGTGTGTGTGTGTGTGTGTGTGTGTGTGTGTGTGTGTGTGTGTGTGTGTGTGTGTGTGTGTGTGTGTGTGTGTGTGTGTGTGTGTGTGTGTGTGTGTGTGTGTGTGTGTGTGTGTGTGTGTGTGTGTGTGTGTGTGTGTGTGTGTGTGTGTGTGTGTGTGTGTGTGTGTGTGTGTGTGTGTGTGTGTGTGTGTGTGTGTGTGTGTGTGTGTGTGTGTGTACATATGTAATATACTCATATATTACGAAGATAATTTATTAACATTTAAGTATACCAAATAAATTATAACTTTAAACAAGAAACAGCTGTTAATTCTACCAACTTTTGATATCGACAATAACCACAATGTCACTCACAGAATTGGGAAACTTTAAACATAAATAGGCATACCTTTTCAAAAGATGAATAGAAGAAACATACATAGATATATAATTGATAATTAATTCTTTGATCAAAGCAATTAATATGTCAAAAAGAAATTAATATGTCAATTAATATGTCAAAAAAGCACACACATGAAAACGGATAAAAGACGTTAAATAATTGTAAAATCTATATTTATTATATTCATTATTAGAAAATACATCTTCCTTTTATACATGAACCAATCAGGATCAATCAAACGTCATTTCTTAAGTATTAATTACACATAACACACACATAACCCTTTATGTACAAGGCACTTCGTCAGACTGCAACAAACAAACAAAAATAATTATCATTTGAGTTTTTATCTATCTATGTTATAACAATTTTATTTACAACTCTCAGTTTGGGGTTATTTATTACATTATTGCTAGATTAAAGGTGTATTTTCCTTGGGATGATGATGGTTAAGTCTGAAAAAAAAATTACGGTTGATTTATGTTAAAAATGATAAGCAAGTTTGGTCTAGAAATATTACGTTATTTCTAAGATACGTATCAACCAGGGATAAAATGCTGAAAAAAATCCTCCTTTTTTCAGGTACAGAACGATACCACGTGACTCCCAACGAAAAAAAAAAAAAACGAAAAAAAAAAAAACGATCGACCATTTGGCACAGTTGGCACACCTAGATATAGCAGAGGCCCTCGTTCTGGTGGCACCACTGCGGCTGGATGCGGTCGGCCCTGATGCCCCTCGCCACCATGCGCTGCCGCTGGTGGATGAGGCGGGTCTCGGCCGGCTCCCAGTTGTGGCTCGGGTTCGTCCACAGGCGCTCGGCGAGGGCGGCTCCGCGCGGCCACAGCTGGAACAGGGAGGAAGGGGGGGGGGGGGGTTAGTTGGCTTCGTTCGTTGGGTATTTCTTTAGGATGATGGTTCTATAGTAAGTCATTGTAAGATTCTAGATTCTTTGTTACTAAGCTATGTGAATTTCTTGTAAGATTCTGGAGTCTTTATTACTCGTCTATGTAAATTTCTTACATCTTTGATGGGGACTACTTTGCCTATGCCTGTCAGGAGATTTTTAAAGGACTCTCTTGAACTACAACTTGTTTCTTATTATTGATTTAGTTTAGGACGCTCGCAGGCTAGTTATCAAAGCGTAATCTCATCTGAAGAAATATAACTAACCCT